CAGTAAGTGTAAGCACTGCATGCTTCAAGCATGTACCAACCAAAAAGAATTAAGGAAAAAACAAGGAGCAAGAGAAAGGAAGACTCCTGACAAGGCAGCGGAGGTGCTCGGAGGTAAAGAAGGTGGCTGAAACAAGAAACTAGAAAATTTCAAAGCAAATTTCTTTTTTAAATTTTTTTGAGCAGTGGAACTAAATGACTAACATGTAGTAACAGTACCTCACATTGCCATTTCTTAAGCTTTTTATTTCCCTAGAGAACAAAGCCTCAGGGAATACACAAAAATCAGTTACGCCAGTATTTTTAATTACAAAAATTCTAACACTTGTGTCTTACTATTTTATAGAACTGCAAAATTTGCTTAAGAGTTTATGAAACTTTAGTTATTAACACTTTAGCTATGCAAATATGAAAGCAAAGCATTCCTCTGTATGAAAAAAGTAACCATCTTGTCTCGGCCTGATTCTTTCAGTTGCATACTAACGTAAATTAAGGGTAGAGGAAGTTTAAAATTGTTTCTTGGAACTGTAAATCCTGTTGAGTGTAAGCCACTTAGAGAAGGGTGATTGGTTAAAGATTATTCATCCCTTTCAGATGGTATCAAATGTAAGGCCTACTCTCAGTGCCTGGGGTTTCTGATAGCAATTACAGATGAAATAAACTTCAAACATTCTGGAGCTTGTGTTTAATTCACAGCAACATCTGGCATCTTGGAGAGATCTCAATATGTTCATGAGATCCTGAATGGAGTGGGAAATCTCATGAAATAAGTCAAAGAGATCATTCTTTATGAGGTATGACTATAAGGTAATACGACTACTTTTTGAACTAATGCTTCAGATCCACAAATCCAGTGTTGTTTCTCAAAAAATAATCAAGTTTGAAAATCCACATTCATTCAATTTGTTGCTGCTGGACACTGAATCATTACCTTTGCTAAAAAACAGAAACACCTCCTCTCTTGAGGGTAAATTTGAAATTTGAAAATATATGAAGTTAGCATCACTAATTCTGATAAATTAAGTAAAGTATGAAAATTGAGGCAAAATTCTATTAAGTATTTAAATGAACCCATAGTATAAGGGAATTTGTTATGTGTAACACTAGCCAACACATAAATTCTTATGAAGTGTCACTGTTCTAAGTATTTGACCATCATGATTTCACACCTTACCGTACCTAACCTCATGTTGCAGGTGGCACCATCATCCCATAAAGAAATGTAGGTGGAGAGAAGAAAAACAGTCCCAGATCACAGTCTAGTAAATGGCACCACCAAGGAGTAAAACCAGGGTCCATCTCCAAATCTCTTGTTTTTAATCGCCATGACATAACCTAAGACTGATTCTAGAGGAAAACCCCAGTCAAATTCTAATCTAGTGCAAAATGCTGCTGGACTAAACATTTACACATTTTCAACTTTTAACAGTCATGATGAAATAATTTACACTTATTCCAAGGCTTGAATTTGAGTGTTTTTAGCTTTCTCACAAGAGCTCATCATACAATGAAAGATTGAGGTTTACTGAAGTAACCACACAAGTCTGTTCTATACAAGCTCTGTAGCAGCACTAAAGAAAAGTTTTTATAGTATAGACGCTGATTCTGGGGCTTTTGAAATTCTCAGGATAAAGTCTTGGCAAATGCCAAATCCTATTGTAGTTATACAAATTTTCATGGATATTTTCAATGACAGTATTTATTTGGATATTGTAATTTGGAAATACTCAAAAGAAGGGAGGATAGTTGTGTGCTTATTATGTTCCTCAGATTTTAGCTAGACAAGGAGTAGCAGAGCGTGATATGCCAGCGAGAGTGCAGACTTCAGCATCAGTCAATCCTAGGAAAAAATCTAGGTATTCGCTTAATTAGAAATGCAACTTTGGATAACTTAGTTGGATTTTCTGAATATTGCTTTGTTTTTGTTTTTGTTTTTGTTTTTGTTTTTGTTTTTTAAAGTGGACTCCAGTGCTCACTAGGTATGTGAGGATTAAATAAAATACATTTAATTGAATTTTGCTTGAAGAATTTACAGTACAACTTCCCTGGGTAACTTTTCTTCTTTTTCCAGCAATATTCTTGGGTTCCCCAACTGAAAACAAATTATCTTCCAAATCACTGCACGCAGCTTTCTTAGAGCATTTAAGAGTGTAATTATGATACTTCAATTTAGAGGCAGAGAAGAAGCTTTTACTTTTTCTTTTCTTTTCTTTTTTTTTTTTTTTTTTTTTTTTTAACTTGTCTTGTTCATGACTCAGCCCTGCTATTTTATTTGCCTAAAATTTAGCGGCTACAGCAGGCACCAATTGGGCTCCAAGTGATAGAGACACCACATGGGAGGAGGTGTGGGGTCCCACAAAGGGCTTGCAGCTGTTGAGACAGCAATTGGATTAGGCAGCCAAGACCAGAAGCATCTGGTGAAACCGACATTTTTTCACAAAATTGACATTTCTGTCATAAACCATAATTCCCAGATTTATTTTAACTACATTTAGGAAATACTTTTTTAATGGAGGAATGAGAAGATTGGGATAATTCTTTGTTTGATTATCCCTTGCTTCAGAGGGAAAGAGATTCTTTCTCTGGGCATGATAAAAGGAAGTCACATGCCTACATCTGCAGCAAGGAAAGGCTGTAGAGGCAGACATGAGAATTTTCTCCCTGTGCGGATCTCAGGAACTCTAAAATTTACTGAAGTGAATCACAGGGAAAGCTATAGAAATTTACTGGTGAAAAGTATAAGTTGAGGTTATCAATCAGCTATCATGATCATCAAACAGATGTCTGTATAGTCATACTGTCAAATTTAGTCAATTCCCCTTTCTGTAAATGTAAAGGACCACATTCCCCTGGAGAAGGTGATTCCAAATGGAGGAAGAAGGAAGCTGGCCTAAACCCAGGTCGCTCCACTTCTAATGTCTCTGGGAGATTGTGGTGTTCACAGTGACAATGCGGTGATTTTGTTTACCCAAAATAATACTGAGGTTCAAGACCCAGGACAATCTAAAAGCAAAACTAGAGAGCAAAACTAGACGCACTCTTTTTCTGGCCTAATAATCATCTCTCTCCCCACAAACCCAAGAGTTGGCTCAAAGGTTGACTTGTTCACAATGATTTCTTTATAAGAATTTACTAAACACTTAGCATCTGCCGGAGATTGTGTAAGTAGTGCTTTTAGAAATTAAAAGTAGTTCTGAAACAAACAGAAACCTCAGTCCTCCTGGATGGTAGAAAGACAGAGAATAATAAATAAGCTCAATAAATAAAATCTAGAGTTTAGTAGATGGTGATAGGTGTGGGAATATGAAATCATGAGTTATATGAGCAGTTTTAACTTCAATCAGGAAAGTCAGAGATGGTCTCAGGCAGAACAGAGGCCAGGAAGGAAGGAGGAGAGGAAGCCTGAAGCTCCCTGAGGGAAGTGCGTGTCAGGTAGAGATGGACAGGCACAACAGCTGGAGCAGAGTGTGCTAGAGACACAGTAGAGACCGACAGGAAGACAGCTAAAGAAAGAGTAACCCATGAGGGGGGGGGGGGTAATGGAAGCGGAGACGCAGGCTATGGAGGATCTTCTGGCTTTTACTCTGAGTGAAATAAAAACAATATTCATCTTGTTCCAGGCATTGAATAGGCATTGAGAGTATTCTTACAAATACTCTCTCTAGTGGGTTACCAAACAGAGAAATGGAACTCCTTTGTCAGTGAAGGCAACTACCACCACAGCTCAGAGTGTAAAGCTTGTCTTTGATCATGTAGCTATGAAGTGGATGAGCCAAGAATGTAAACTGCAGTCAGGGCTTCCTAGAACCTTAACCCAAGCATCCTTCAAAAGAGGTGAGAATCAGAAGTCCTGGACAGAATGCAACCTGCCAAAGGTGTGGCTGCCTAGCTGCAGCCCTTTGGAACCAGGCTTGGTGGTACATGGCTATAATCATAGTACCTTGGAAAACAGAAGCAAGAGGACTAAAAATTTAGGCCTAACCTGGAAAATCTAGCAAATTAGTGAGATTCTGTCTCAAAATAAATGGGGGAGGAGGGAGTATAGCTTAGTGTAAAAGCTATGGATTTAATCCTCAATACTGTTAGGTTTTTTAAAAAAGAAATCCTTTTGTGAAATAGTGGTCATAAACTGTTTCTGTTCGTGTAAGGAGTTATATCTCTATAAGATTCCCACATGCCACCCACTTTGGAATGCTCTAAATTCATAGTATAGGCAATAGGTTTGTAAGTAAATCACTCAGAAAATGTTTTAAAAACACTGATTTCAAACTTCCAATCCAGACTACTGAATCAGGAAATCACGGTTTACAAACATTTGAAGATGCAACTGTTTTTTCTTTCTCTTTTTTTTTTTTCAGGAATGCCTCATAGAGTCAGATATATGTTAGGAAGAAGGCCCTTTGAAAGTAAAACCACAAATAACAACCTCCACACAGTATATATATTTAGATGTCAACAAATTAAACAAAATTAAAAACCTCAAGTGTGGTTTGGTTGGTTGTTCAGTTAGTTGATTTACTCCTTTACATGTTTATTTATTTTTATGCTTTTGGCTCATAGCTACTGAATACTCAATAAATGTGTTTGGCTGAAAGTTTTTGAAGTAACCATTTTTTCAAATCACTCACTACTTTAGCAAATACAACACTTGATCTTTTAAAAACAAAAAGCCAAAGCCGGGAATAATTGGTTTAGACTACCATAATGTCTTCAATATCCTCTTTTGTACCTATTTTATATTTACAAGAGAAGTAAATTCTGCTTTCTTTAGAATGGAGTGATCTCCCATGGAATGGTATGAACAATCATTTTATAAATTCAGATCAATATACTTTTATTTATATAAGAGTGTGTGTGTGTGTGTGTGTGTGTATGGGTGTGTGTGTTTACAAAAGGTGTTTTCTTTTTATAGTAGTCATGAGTTGGTTTGTCATGCTGGGTTACTGACACTGTTTAGCTGGTTTTAGTTGCTACACCATCACAAAGTCATAGGTCACCTACCAGTATTGTTCAGCTCCTGGAGAGTGGAGGTCGTATTGTGGAAGGACTTTGAGATAATATGTGCTCCTCACATCCCTCTTTCCACACATTCTGCTGCTGTGGTCCAATCACAAAGGAGCAGTCTGTCACTCAAACTTAGATCCACTCAACCACTATGGCAGAATAAAAAGCAGTTTTTAGATTCTCTTTTGTTTTATGCATCTGTCACTGTAAGATCACCTTCTATTGCTGGAAACAGAGCACAGCAACCATCACATAATCCCTGCAGATTGCAGTTTGCAAAAATCACTTCCAGATAACCTCTCCCACTTAAATCATCTAAGTATTTTAAGGCGTAAAACTCATAAATGTTTTTGAAATGAAAATGACACTTATCTACTAGCTAAGAAGACTCATAGTTTATAGAAACAGAAAGCCTACTGACCATCTTCAGCACAGATCACAGAGATTGGTGATGCAAATGCACTTCTCCCCTTACAGCTAGGCAGGGCATATGTTCCTAGTTTTCGCTGGTGGGTTGAAAATGAAAAATTCAATTATCCTGGAAAGTCCTTCAGCAACCCATATACACTGAGGTGACAGAACCCTGAGAATGAAATAACTAGATCTCTAGGTGATCACCCAAAAGACTTTCAGTAGACTTTGAATAAATGAAAAAGAAAACCTTAGTTATATTTAGTTACTGAAATTTAGGTTCTTTGTTACGGTACCATGGCCTGTCTAATGTAGTATTATTAGAGAAAAATGCTTACTAATACCAGCATCAGAATAACGTAATTATGAGTACATCAACAGACATTCTGTCTTTTTGAGCTATACCCATTTCTTTTTTTAAATGAACTTTTTCTGTTTGGTATCCATGTATCATGCCTAACCACTAACAGCTTTTTGTTATTTCCAAACATGTTCATTATAGATTCACAGACTTACAAAACTATTAGATCGTCTGTTCTCTTATTTCTTGAACCCCAGCATCACTACTAATCTGTATGTCATCTATGACCTCATAGACGATCTTTTTCTACAGTGAATTCTATGTTTAACATCACAAGCTTTAGAATGGAGCAGACCTGTGTTAAAGCCATTCACCAGCTGTTTAGTGCTTCAGTTCACTTAGTGCAGAACAGCAATGATTAGAGAAACTTCTGTTAGGAATCTTTTAATTTTATTGGGTTTTGTTTTTAAAATAAACAAAACAAATATATGTAAAGCGATTAGTGTAGCAAAGAATAAATCTTTCCTCAAGTAAATTTTATTGTTAGTGTATCTTTATGACACAAATAATTACATTGGTGTACCCACATATTGTAATGTGATCTTTTTGACTTCCACTTTCCCCCTTGTCTTGTTTACTTTTCTCTCATTGTTGAGACAAAATATTTGACACCCAAAATGAAGGAAAGAAAGTTTTATTTAGCTTACAGTTTTTGGAGGCTTCAGTCCATATTCAGCTGGCTCAAAGGCAGGATGACATGGCTAAGGGGCAACCGTTCATGGCAGCCACAAGTGACAACACAGAACAGGGGAAAAGGGGAAAGCACACCTCTTTCCTTCCCTTATATTAGATTCTGGTACCCACCCCTGGATGGGTGCAGCACTCACACCATCAGTTCCAGCAAGAGTTAGTGAACCAATCACAACACTAGATTCAGCCACCTCTGTGACTGCATGAGACTTGGAGGGGATATTTAAACACAAACCATAATGGCTCTGTAATGTCTTTCCCTTTTCCCAGATTCCCTTCCCAGGTCCATCAAGTCTACCTCCCTATTTCCTATTATCTTTTATTTTGCTTTTTAAATTATTTCTATTTTGGGTTTCTCATATCAGAGAAACTATATGACAGTTATTCTTCTGTATCTGATTTATTTATTTAGCATTGTGACTTCAAGATTTATCTTTTTTCTTACAAGTGGTTCAAATTTATTGTTCTGTAAGGCTGAGTAGTACTCGGATGTGTGTAAATACAGTGCTACGTTTTCTTTATCTATGAAAGTCAAAGGAAGCCCTTATTTACCGCACAAAAATTCCTACTTTGCATGAATTATCTTTAGTTAAGACTCAGAGTACCCCATAAATTACTTATTTTATAAATATGAAGCACTCAGGTTATCAAATGTCCCCAGGAGCGGTGGTACACTCCTGTGATCCCATCACTCGGGACTGTGGGAGGTTGAAGAAGAAGTTCAAGACCAGTGAGACCCTGTCTCCAAAAAGAAAGAAAAAGGAAGAAGAAAGAAAAATAAAAAAGGAAAAAGAATATTATTTCCCAAGCTCACAAAAGGTCCACGCTGCTGCTCTGAGAGGACCCAAGCTGCTGTTCCCCTCAGACACCCCCCCCCCACCTCTCCTCCACATGATTCATCAGTCTGAAAGAAAAATTTTCTGGGCATGTTTTCCAAAAGTGTTACAATGCAACAACTAACAATTGTAAAAACCCACAATGAATAGATAATATTTAAAAGCATATATTTTGTATTATATATTAAACCATATTGTAATTTTATTATAATTAAAATTACACAGTCAAGTAAAGTCTTTTGGCATTGTTTTCTTTTGTAATATCTTAGCTCCTCAAGTCTTCTTGTTATTCAAAGAAATGGATGGTTAGGCTAAAGTCACTTGGAAAAATGAATGGATTCCCTGAAACTGACATTTTCTCTTTGTGTATGTCACTTATAAAATATAATTTTTTGAAAATTCCAGTCAATGTGTCTTGCTGAGAATTTAATGACAAAGAAGTAAACATTTCCCTCCGTAAGTGTTAGTTTGTTTCTCCAGTTTCTTTTTGGACATCTTTCAATCATCTAAAGAACATCTTTAATTTAAAAAATAATTTGTTGAATAATGAATTGTAATCTTTGAAGACCTCATCCCATAGATCACCAGAAACCAAAATATCAGGGAAAAAAATAAAGAAAACTTAGTCACTTATGGAAAGGAAGTTACTTTGAATTTGTTGGGTTTCAAATAACCTCAGCCTCTACTTGTGTGCTCATTTAAAAAATATAATTGATCATACTGAATTACACCTGAAATGGAAACTCAAACAGTACCTCTGTGTATGCATGAAACCTGCAAAGAAAGACCTGCTAATTGTGATTTGAGGTATTTTTTTTTAATGGCCAATTCGGGTCACTTTTTATGACTCCCACATGAATTTCAGTCTGAAAAGTTTGGAAATCAAGGTGATAAACAATAAAACTAATTGCTGTATTAATATTTTACACATTCTTAAATTTTGGTTTCAAATCATTTGTATTTTGTTTTAAAATAAATAAATATTGACCCCAAGGCCACTGTCAGTGCCAATGGTGTCCCTGTGGGAAGAAAAGCAAGGGATCTGCAGAGCTTGCAGGCTACCTTTTTCCACTTTTTTCTGAGGCCTGTTCCATTCCTGAATCAGAGAAATATGGAAGGTAACCTTTGTGACAAAGCATTACTGTGTTTCTTTCCATAAGTGGTACATATATTTTAGCTCTCAAAATAATCTCTTTTTTGGAACAAAAACAATCTTCCCTTTAAATTTATGGCCAACTTTAAAGGGCTTGATTGTCAAACTAAAAGTTAGTTAATGTCTTGGCTTCAATAAAAGCTGATTAAAGCTGAAAGATATAAGAGTTATAAAATCAGAAGAAATAGAAAAATAGCTGGATTTTTAATCTAAATCTTGGCAAGTATCTGGAAAGTATTTTCTAGAAAGACCAAATAGTAGTTATTCTTTATGCAATGTATTTAAAATGTTTTGTAATTCCCTTATGCCATCAGGGATAAAAAACTATTTTAAGTTTAAAAAAATTTCCAAAGGATATAGAATACGTACTTTTTTAAATTAAAAAAAACTCAAGAGATGGTGTTTTATAAAAAATATTTGCTAGATAAACCATTTGGAAGATACCCCTGTGTATATATTATATATATTACAAATGCCTTTGCTTGATGAGTAAGTGCTGCATTGTCTTAGAAATTAAAAGCCAGAATTTAATTGAACACTGAATGAAGAGCTAAGGCTATTTTTTGCTTTTGCTTTAATGAACCTATTTAAGTTTAGAAAAATCCATCAAATTAAAAACAACCCTCAATTTGAGCTGTAACACAAAAACACCCACAGACCTCAGGAAATCACCAGGCTCATTCACCTTGACCTTTGGCCTCTCACACGTTCTAACATTCAACTTTCCTCCCTCTGTCCATCTGCTTGAACCATTAGTAAAGTTCTTTCGCAACAGGGCTCGCACAAGTAAGCCAGCTGTCATCAGAGCATATTTAAACTCTGCCTCTTACTTTCCACTGAATCATGTGTTTGCCCACAGGTCTCATTAAATACAGGGCAGGGCAGTGGAGCAGTTTCAAAATGCTCTGGGGAAACAAGCCATCTATAGAAAAGGGTGGTCTGAAAGCCTTTGCATTAATTTGCTTGTTTGGTTGCTTGCCTGCTTGCTTGTTTTTTTGGTCTACAGAGAAGTTTCAATAGAATAACAAGATGAGTGAAAAATGTTTGCAGGTAAATGAATCTCCGGCAAAAAAGACAATAGAGTATTAACATGGAAATCTTTCTTTTAAAAATTAAAACTTTAAAAATTAGTTCTAAAAGTAAAAAAAATTACAAAAGACTCTTGCACAAATCTCCCATTGCTTGATTTGATTTAGGTAATAAATGAATCATGCAAATCTCTGATCTTACCACAAAGAGCCCATTAGAAGAGGAAACTGAAGAAAATGGTTGGCTACAAAGCCAAAATTGTCAAACCTACTTCTTGGAGGTTAATTGAACTGTCTTTAGGGGAACCCAGAAAGGCAAATGAAAATGTGTCCACTTCCATACAATGGAAAGGGTTGAAGCACTGGACGTCTAAGTGAACAGGATATGAAATTTAAAGGTTCATTTTAAGGAGTAATGCCAGGAAGCAATTAACACCAGGTAAAACAAGCAAATTAGAATGGATATCAGGGCATTTGGAGTTCCATTTTTCATAGGTGCTGTATAGATATTTCGGCTAGTCTCTTAAATACCTTTCATTTTCCCTGCCATCAGCCCACTGAAACCAAGTTCATAATATAAAATCAATCACAGTAAATATTAACCAGGGCACACTCTGCTAAAGCCAGCACATCAGCAGAATGATAAGAAGCACAAATCAGCCAGCAAAGC